TCTACCAGATGTTTAGGTTATGGCTGTTTAGTTATCCTAAGGTTGAAAAGTGTGCATCAAGGACCACTTGGAGCAGAATTGCTCACAAATAGCTGCTGTTTCTATGTAGTGAGGTTTGGCCATGCCCATCCTGCCTCCTTGGTGAGGACAGAGCACCAGTTTCTGCTATGCTAGCCCCACTCACCAGCCTGCTGGCTCTATCCAGCCACTATGAGTACCGTTTTTCTCTGTACCTATTTTCTTTTCTGTACTACAAGCTAAAGGGCAATCCATCACTCCATGTCATTCCCAGGAGCACCGAGAAGCTCCAGTCTGGATGTGATTAAACAACAAATTTTTGTGAACTACTCACTATAAGGAAGAATCACAAGTCAGTCCACACAATGGGTTTTAGTGTCTTCAGAAAGTTCTGCAGTGGAACTTACCATGGAGGATCAAAACCAGCTTCTGCCAGAGTAGCCTCCCCAAGATCCATTTCGTACATACAAATGAGCCCTAGGATGCTTTATTAATCTTGGCTTGTTTTCCTTTTCCTAATTATTGAATGCATGCCTTTGAGGAAAAAGCTTAATTCTCAGATACTCTGTCAGCAAGGTGGATTCTTATTTAATCCTAAAGTTCTTGAGAATGAAGTAATGTGACTGGGGACTTCTCCTAGTGCGGAATTCAAGACACTGATAGTTGTTCCAGTACTGTGCCGTGAATGGAGTGTCCGGCTAGTGAAAGACTCATTTTCATCCCCAAAGCCTTGGGACCTGTGTGTCTGGCTGCATCCCATCTGTCAGCTTCTGTCACTCGGAAAAGTTAATCAGTTTTTTTTTTTGAGGGGTGTGCCATCCATTCAAGAAGAATCCTTTGATAGACCCCATTTCCTTTTCCAAACAGCCCTTGATGCTAACTAGTGCATAGAATGCCGTTCAGTGCAGGACTGACTTCCACCCAGCCTCATCTGTCCCCTCATTACAAAGAATATAAAACCAGAATTTTCATATTCCATATATATATATATATATATATATGTATATTAATGCTCCAAACTTCATACTGTCAAGAAACACGGGCACCAGATGACCCTGCCCTTTTCACAGGTTAGGAAATGGAGGTCACCTGCTAAGCAGAGGGGTCTCAGATAGTGGAAGGAAGGGTTGCAAAGACTAAGCCCATCTGCCCCTGGCATTTCCTTCTGTTGGGTATCACATAAAGCCAGGGAGTGAGTCCTTGCGAAGGTGTCTCGGGCAGAGTCACATCTGCAGCCACAAGGTGGGAGTTCTTTACAGCGTAGCGTGTGTCCACGCAATTCAGCATCAATGACAGTCCTCACAGCCATCTCCTGAGCTTACTAAGTAGATGAGTCAGGTTTGACATTTTCGAAATGCTAGTGAGATCTGTCCTCTTTTCTGAGTAAAAAAAAAAAAAAAAAAAAAAAAACTCAGTTTGCTTTAGCTAGGACTCCCTTGACTTCTTTAATCTTTCCCAATGTATCTGCCGGCCAGAACAGCATGCAAACTCTCAAGGTTAGGAGAACAGAGAGATGCTGATCTCTCCAACAGTTCAAATGTGCTTCCTGACTCGAGATTTGTGGCTATTTGACTCTGCTGTTTAGCCTTCCAAATGTCCTTGATCCAAAAAAGACAGGATGGCCACTTGAAAATACAGCAAGAAAAAAAACACTTTTCCAATGGCCTTGTCTCGCTGCATGCTACTCAAGTTGGAGCAGCTGAAGTCTTTTTCTGAATTTATGGGCTCCCATTTAGATGACGGTCAAATTGCTGTAATTTGAGACCCATTTAACGTGTCTGACACCGGCAGCAGATTCAATGGTCAAATAAGCTGAAGGTTCCTTCTGTTTTATGCACAGCTTTTTGCTCTGTCTGTCTTGCCTGGTTTTGAACAAGGCTCAAAGACAAGTGGCTCTGGAATTGCAGAGTTCAAACCTCATGGAACACTTGCTTTCCATGGGATCTTGTTAAAGACCTTTATCTCCTTGGGGCTGATGTGCTTCTCCTCTAACGTAGGGGTAGAAACTGACACTTGGGGCTCCCTGGGGCAGGATTTATAGTTTACACTGGGAGTTAAACATGCTGCAAGGCAAACATAACTAATTCAAAATCAGAAATGCTCTCAAGAGTCAGGCACATGGTGCACACCTGTGATCCCAGCACTCGGGGAGGCTGAGGTAGGTGGATCTCTGAGTTTGAGGACAGCCTAGTCTACAAAGCCAGTCCAGGACAGGCAGGGCTACACAGAGAGACCATATCTGGAAAAGCCAAAAGTGAGAGGGGAAGGGGGGAGGAAAGGAGGGAGGGAGGGGGGAAGACAGAGATATCCTCTGAAATTTAAGGACAACCTGATGCTCAAAGTTTCCTATTTTGGAGCATTTAATAATTTAGGATTTTGCTTTATGGTCATTGACTAGTAAAGTCTATGCAAATATCCCCAAAACCAAAGAGCTCAAAATTCTAAATACTCTCATTCCAAGTATTTTTGATAAAGGATCCTCAAACTAAAGATTAAACACCACCATCCCTTGCCCAATACTGCTGCCAAAAACATCTACTGTTACTAGTAAACACTTATGAATCATCTATTGTATACCCCTGGCTGCTTTATTATACACTGTGAAACCTATGGCTGTCATTCAGGATCTGTGCTTATAAGAAAAGTTTTATTTTCCTCTCTCACACAAGAGATATGGTCATGAGAAAGGCATGCTTTAATAAGGGCATCATTTCGGTTTGGGTAGGCTGGGTTTGTGGCCGTGACACAAATCACAAGCTGGAAGGACAAGACTGTCTAGAGACTAACAAAACGTTCCTAAAATGTAGTGTTGTCTTGAAAGAGCAAGTGTCTTCGGGACTAAGGGAAGAGGGACCATTCCTCAAAGAATGACGAACCACTGAGCCTCAGCAGCACATGGTTTAAAATTATGGCAACGGGTTCCTCCATTTGCAAGGGGGCCTTGCAGTGGAGATTCTGATTAGCAAAACTAAGTCTTTCAATTTCTAGTTCAATTCCTAATACCACCAAATTAAAACAAAGAACCCAAGCCCCCCCCATCTATTGTATAAATAAGAGAATTTTCCTGTGAGAAATTGAAGGTTCTTGGCATAGAATCCTGATGCAGCTTCAGCCACCATCTTGTCAGCAGCTTCTTGAAAGATCCTGTCAGGAGCCATTTGGCTAAACCAGTCCAGGATACTTGATAATGCAATAACAATGGGATAACCAGCACTTACGGCTTTGAGATGATGAGCTCTGGGGCAGTTTAGTATACCATGTATCATAAAGGAAGCAGAAAATGTTCCTAATGGTAACTAACTTGTCTTTTGTAGGATCCTGGATGTGTCTGAAGTCTGAGAGGCAGATGTCCAACACACTCTCTGTGTTAAGAAGGTAACATTTATCCTCTCAACAATCCACTCCACTTAACCATCTAACCATGGAGAAGGTGTTTATTATACAGAGGCGTGATAGTGGGGTGAGCAGGGTGGCTGAGGGGAGACTCCCATTTAGAATGTTTGGAGACCAGACTTCAGGTGACATGGCAAAAGCCTGACCTAGACAACAGCCCAATGACGGATATGAAGAAAATGTAAGATTTGGTGGTTTTGAGAAGACAAAAAAAATCAGTTTGTTTTCAGGATCATCGAATGCAAGCGGCTTAGAGTCAGGAGTGCATGCCTACATGAAACTTCCAGGAGCTAGAAGGCCCGCTTTGTAGAGAACTTCTCAATTGGAAAATGAGTCTCTTAGAATTCCATATCAAGCCACCAAAACAGTCTTTTGTAGACACTTTTATAGAAATGAGCTCTCACCTTTCACAAGAACAGAAAGCTTCACATTATCCATTATACAAATGAGGCCAGGAGATGACTGATTTTGGGGGATGAGAGGTAGACAGTGGAGGTTGCAAGCATAGTCTGCAACTAAAGTAGCAGAAGTAATGGCATATACTTGGCCAGGAAATGGTTATCTCCTCAAACATGGGAAAATAACAATTATTTTCAATATTTTAATAGCTCCAAAAATTGATAAGTAAATGCCAAGGCATCTAGGCCTTAAAAAGTCACATTTCTATATAACTGGTGAGCAAACAAACCTTTTTTGTTTGCTTAGAAGTTCCTTATTCTATTAATTTGAATATGTATCACTACCATCTAAAGGGGCATTCAAAAAAAAGTTTGTTTGTTTGTTTTTTTTTCCCGAGAAAGCAGGGTGCTAGTTGCACGGAACTTCCGTGAGAGAACCAGGGAGAATTCAAAACCAGAAGGAAGAGTCAAACAACCAAATTTGCCTTTCAGGAGAAAAATATTTACCAATAAAATAAGTTTGACAATCATTATTGTTTTTGAAAATTACATTTTTATAAAGCTTCCTTATATATTTACATATTTAGTATAATCTTAACCTTTGAAGACGTTTTCCCTCAAATAACTTGATTCAATAAATACTCATTGAATACAATGTTCAAGTAATAGGAGAAAGGACACAGCCCTTAGCTGTGAAAGTCTAAGTCCTTTGAGGCAGAAGCTGTTGACAATGGTAGCCCTGTATCTGCCTCCTGGAAAGATGAGTGAGTGAGTGGTTGGGTAAATAGATGGCCACACAGAGTGGTACTGGCGTTCGGCCTGAACAAATGAAAACGGGCTAGCCATTTCAAAGGCATGCCTCTGCATCAAGGAGCCCAATATTTCAACTGAGGAGTCTTCTGGAAAATGGGAAAAATCCTGATGTTTAAGGAAAGGAAAAAAAAAGGGGTGAACTAAGTGAAGAGGTGTAGCATATTTTGGGGACCTTGTAGTAACTATTTTAGCGAACGCACACTGATACAACTACTGTGAAGAACAGTGCTGCTCAGAATCATGGAGATGGGTGAGAGTGATTTAATGAAATAGTGTTTCTTGAATGCTATAAAAATATATGCTCCTGACTCACAGCCCAAAGTGAACTTTTTATGAAGAGAAAAAGTAAAGAACAAAGAAAGCACCACAGGTAGAGCCTACACCAGAGCTATTTATTAGCATAACTTTTCTTCTTAGATTCCAGAACAACTGAAGTATGTACAAAGTCTTACAGCATTCACACCATTTCAAGGTTCCTGGGAGTTGATGAAGACCAAGGTGGTTCTGCTGAGAACCTGTGGGTTGCCACAGCAGCGAGGCAGACCACCATCAGGTGCCCTCTGCTTCCACTGCCAGCACTCTGGTAGTTGGCTCACAGCTCCTGAAATTACTCAGAGGGCAGGTTACTGGGGAAGAGGCAACAGGAGACAACAGGGTGGAGAGCTACAGTGTTTCTACAGTGTTCTAGAGCTGTAACAAGTACCCACAGCCCGAGAGAAGAGCTGCTCAGATGTGGATCTGCTACCACAGGGACAAGCTGTGGGCTGGGAGGCGATGCTGACACGGCTGGTGTGCTTACTTCCCCTCAGATAGTGCAAACCTGCAGAAGCCCAACTCATCTGCCCAGAATGGGACAACTACGGAGGGAGCAAGGGGGAGAAACAACATGAGTTAGTAGTTCTTGGCCAAAAGCACAAAACAAACAAAATCCTACAAAGTAACCTTAAAAAAAAAAGCATTCAGCATCAGCTTTAATCGGCTTTACAGTGGCACTTCCTGTCAGGTTAATACTAGATGTTTCTGATTTATCCCCCTAGAACAGCATCAACAGTCTCCCTACCCTCCTCTCAATATTGAACCTTCTACTTGGCTCATCCCAGGGGTTTCTCTGATTGTCTTTCCTGGGCTCAGGACTACAAAAGCACCAACATGTACACTGACTTGGACACAGGGCAGCGCTGCTGCCCCTCGAAGCGCCACTAAGAGGCAGGAGAAGGCTAACCTGTGAAGCCCAAGGCCAGGCCCACCACTCCACTCCACTCCACTCCACGTAAGCCCCAGCCTGGCTCTGTATCTGTCAGCCCTTCTACACCTGGCAGGAAGTCCCGTATCTTTCCCCAGTGTTACCAGTCTCCCATGTAGGCAAAGGGGCTTTTGTTCCACAAAGATTCTGCTCTCAACTTAAAAGCCAGTTGGTAAAATTTTTAATTAAGACACAATAGCGCGGGGTATAAAAACACAAAAACCACATAAATATTGAAGAAATCAAAAACCAAATTTTTTTCTTTTTTTCCATAAACAGTTTTGCTTAAGAGCAAAGCTCTAGTCAGATTCTGGCCGGAGACTTTTTTTGGCAGATGAGTGTTCAGCAAGGCTCTGCAGAGACGTGAGAGGGAAGCCAGGCCAGTTGCCATGTTGACAGGCATGCAACTTGAGAACATTGCACAACAAAGCGACACAAAGAGTGGAGAAGCTCACAACACTTCAAGGAGACCTCACAACCTTCACAACTGTGTATGCACAGACAGACCCGCCCCGCCCTCCTTTCCGCCGCTGTGCCTCTTACACGTGGGACACCTTCTGTGACTCTCTGGCTTGCTTGATGCTATAAAGCCACTTGATGATTCTAGCATTCCTTTCGATGGCAGAAATGCCATATGGCACCCGGTCATTGGCACTGTCATCATTTCTAAGGTCACTGTTACTGTCCTGAGACTGTTCACAGTCTGAGCTGATCATGCTTGCGCTGCGGAAGTTGAGGGATATGATGTCAGAATTAGCCCTTGCGAAGTTCTCCATGCCAAGGTTTTCCAGCTCTTCGGGGTCCAGTCCGCAGTAGTTGAAGAACCTCTCCACGTCGGCATCTACGCGGAAATACCTGTCACTCAAGTCTGACTTGGACCGCTGAAGGGAAGGTCTCCGGCTGACCCCACAGGCTGGTTCTACCTGGTCAGCCTCGGGGGACTTCACGGCAGCCACCTTGGGCTTGGGAGGCAGGGGCGGAGCGGAACTGCTGCAGGGGATGGCTTTAAGGGGCTTCACACTGGTCACTTTGCGGATGTCCGAGGAGCTGTGGGAGACGTGCAGGAAGGACTCCGGGGACTGCTCCAGCAGCCTCCTGCTCACGTGGGAGCTGCTCTCCTGTGGGCTGCCCCGGCCAGGGGTAGGGTACACCTTCAGCGACTCAGCGAAGGAATGCCGGTGCAGGTCGGTGGCATCCCTGTGAGGGGGCCAGTTTCGGGAGCTGTGCTTGTGGCCAGAGCCGGAGCTGGAGCCCTCGGAGCTGTTGATGATGTTCTTGAGGATCTCGAGCTTGAGGGTCTCGCGCTGCACGCCGCTCTCCGTCTTGGCGTGGTTGCCAAACACTTTGAGAGTGGGGCTGCCCAGCGCGCGCTTGGCTCCTGGGCACACGGGGGGCTTGGCCAGCACAGCCGGCTTCACCGGCTCCTGCTTGGCATTGATCACCTCCTGGCTCTTGACGTACTTGGCCTTGTCAGCCTCCAGCCGCTCCACCGCACTGAGTCTCTTGGGGTTGGGCTCAGCCTGCCTGCGGAAGTAGTCGGGTCCTTTGTTCAGGATGCGCAGCGGCACCGCCGACGTGAAGGTGCCCGCGGGGCTGACCGGCTTCACCATGCTACCTGTCTGTAGCGTCTCCGTGGGCATGGTGGGCGGTCTTTCCCCGGCAGCCGTGGTGGATGCTCTTCTGGGCGCCTCTGGCCGGCCTGAACAGACACATGTACACGAAGCACAAAGGGCAGACGAAGGATCCTGGGAGCAGTGTCAGCCGCGGCTGCGCCTCATCTCACAGCTCATTAACTGCTGCTGTGGCTTCGGGTGCACTTTTCTCCCCTTCCAGGCGGCCCCTTCACAAAAAGGCCACAAGCCACAAGTTCTCTTTAATAGGCTTGGCTGCCTCCTTTCTTCTCCCTGAAGGCTGTGGGAGTCTCCTTCAGGTCTTTGTGCTCAACTGCAGGCAGAGCTGAAACACAAAACAACCAACCGCGGGTTAGGAGGGGCGGGTGACATCACGGCTCTAGCAACAGAGGAACCCCCCGCGGTGCTCCCACCTCCGTGGCACCCCAGCCCGCTGAGCGAATCCCCGAAGGTCAGCGAAGCCCGCAACTGGCAATTCCCAGTTAACTGAGCGAGGAGGGTAACTGGGACCTCTCCCGAAGCCTGCGCCGCCTCGGGGCAGCAGCCAGATGTGGGCGTTTGCCAGAAAGAAAGGGGCTGAGGCTTCCCACGGAACTCTTGCAGCTGCCTCTCTATTGGTGAGAACCGCCTCCTAAACACGCCTGGCTGGCATCACTTAGAATGAGACCCAGGAAATACTCGTGAATGGAGAACGGAGGGTTCAGCCAAGCCCCGTTCCGTTCTGCAGCTCATTAAAAGCTAGGGAGCTAGGGGCTTCCTAAGACCTCCATCTGCTTTAGCAGCAACGTGGGCGATTTGGGCGGCTGCATCCCTCTTTGCAGCGAAGTAAAACTTGTTACCGCTCACGACCAAGCTGTCAGTAAAACTGGAAACAACCATTTCTGTAATGATTCAAAAACTGGAAAGGTGGTGAGAAGTGGGAATGGCAAGACCCAAAACGGAAAATGGAAACAGGTTGTATTTCTTACAAGCTTTTTGTTTTGTTTTGTTTTGTTTTTTTTGACTTTCAGCAAGCAGTATGTTTCAAAGCACTGCCCTAGAAACCAATAAATGCATGTGAAGTTTCTCTCATTAAAATTTACTTTTTTAGTTAAAAATAACTATTATAGAAATAAATACTTGGAGAGGAACCACATCAGTGGATAAGTTAATTATAAAATGCTCCATCATTTCTCGTACTTGACAAGTGTGAAAAAGAAACATCGTTTCCCTTTGCTAGGAGGGGAGCGTACTTACCAACTATCAGCATTCCAAAGCCGCCAGAGAATGACCTCATCAGCATTTTCGTTATAATTACGAATATTAAGAAAGTGACACATCCAACACGTCGAGTTACAAACGTGCATAATATATAAGGTGATATTACTGTAAGTTTTTTTTTTTCTCTCATGTGAGGTATTGAAGGCAGAGAGGAAATAACTGGTATTTCTCTTGACAATCTTCTCAAACACTTCATCTCTAGATAAAATCCATCCTATTTTATTGGAGCCAATTTTGGTAATCTGCAAAGGGATTTGTTTTAATAAAAACGCATTCCTATGCAATATTTGAGAAAACCCAAGGCGATGACTACATAATGATTTCCTTTAATTGTGCAGTTCTATTTTGATGCCTCAATTTGTTTAAAAAATAAAACAAAAGACAATAGCCCACCTCCTCACATGAATATTAAATGAGATTCTTTCTTTGAATGCAAATTTGAGTGAAACTGCTGAAGGAGCCCCAATCCCTTGAGTGTTCATTTTGGCTAATCTGCTACTGACGGTCCATTTCACTGGGCAGGAGACAGGGGCTGTCTTAGAGAAAAGGCAGCATCTTAAACCGGTTTACTGAGTGGACTACGTAGCAACCAGCAAGCCTGGGCTGGGAGGCGACCTCCCTGATCACAGGTAGGGTATGGGAGAGAGGGATGTGCCCAGACAGCCTGCCAGAGGAAGATGCCACTGTGGGCCTTAGAAGTACTTTTCTCTGTGACCTCCTTTTCTCTAACTTTCACCCCTCAGCCACAGAAGCCAGAGCCCACTCCCCCTTCTACAAGCAGGGGCTAGAACCCACAACCCACTTTCCCTGAAGTCGTCATAAAATCTCAAAAGCCTAACACCTCTAGAGAGCTTTCTGAACACGAGTTGGCCACAATAAAATTCTCTGATCTACCCTGCTTGACTACAGGTCTTAAGACCTGATTTCAGAAAGGGTGGCCTTGCTGGACTTCCACCAATCTGTTGCCATTAAGACACACCCCTTTAGTTCAATCATACTTTTTAATGGACCCTCATTATAAAAACAGATGGTTCACCTTGATCTTTGATTTTTTAATCTGAAGTCTCTAACATAATGTAAACTTATGATTAAATAGTTTCCTTAATTTTTTTTTTATCACCTGTGACTTTACATAATGAACACAAAAGGAGTCTTCTCTATGGTACCATTACCACTGATTATCTTTAAAGCTTTCAAAACGCCTCTATGTTGGGGAAAATGTCAGAAGGGTAGGTAGAGTGAAGAGTGGGCCTTAGATCTATGCCTAAGGATCAAAGTAGCCCTCCACGGCACCCAAAGATGGCCCAGAGGGCAGCAGCCAAGTGCCCACTTATGGGCATGAATTAGTCGGACAAAATTCCTATAATCCATTCCTGATGTAAAACCACGTGGCTCAAGGACCAAGACAAGGACTCATTTTTAATTTTAAAATGGGAGTGTAGGATACTGACAGCTGCCTTAACTTCCCATGCCACCTGTCTGCGCTGCTCTTAGGGGAAATTTTCTCTGCGTAAAGAGATGTGGCGATGAGGTAACACCCACTGGCACCAACACTCTGGCTGGCCTGTGCTGTTTTTTTGCTATCATCTCTTCTAGTTTTACTCTGTTATGATCAAAGGCACAAAATGTTATCACCATGCCCAGCTCTCCTGGGTGCCCAACTGCCTGCGAAGGCAGGCTTTGGTCTTCTCTGAAACTCTAAATAAACATCATTACTCTGAACTCACCAGACTGGGGAATACCACTGCATCTTCTAGGTGCCTTTCCTAGAAAAATCGGTGTTCTTTTCCTATTACTTTCTTTACTCCTTAGACTGGGACCCTTGGGAAGGCTCCTCGAGCTTCCTAGAAACTGCTAGACATTTGTAAAGCCAACATGAGAAGATTATGTTAAAAATAGAGATAATTTGTAACCACTTCATACTTCTTTTTCTTTCCATTTCCACCTCTTCCCTTTCTTCTTGGCCATTCCTGGTTTCTGTATTACTTTTTAAATAGTAACGGAAGAAAACCCAAATAATCAAATGGTCTTGTGGAAGGACTCCAAGCAAAGGGAAAAGCTACAGAAACGCTTGGTATCCTATAATAGGATAACAGGCATAGTTGATGTCTGTTACCTGTGCTCGCCAACAGCTGGAAGTAATGTGGTGGTTTAGGCTGCTCTCCCTTAATCCCCAGCATCTGCTCTGATATTTCACATGGGAACTGTTGTTAGGGACACAGCTGTACAGGCCTGGAGAGACACTCTGAACTTGACAGTATAGACCAGGCAATCCAGCAGGTACCCTGGAGCTGCATCTCAAGGTCATGGACAGAGTAACCATAGTCCTTCAGGGAACATTGGCGCACAAGACCCTGACATCTGGCACATGGTCCCTGGTGTGGCTGTGGATTAATCACAGCAGTGAGGCCAACTGCTGGGCTGGGACTGGGGAACTATATGCTTTTTTTTAGGGAAAGGAAAATTTCATCTCAGTAATAAAAGTAACTACATAGTCTTTTTTTTTTTTTTTTTTTTTTTTTTTTTTTTTTTTTTTTTTT